TTCTTATTCTGATTTTTAAACCTTGATCAGCAAAAGATCTTGATAAAAACGTTGATTCTATAAAGAAAAAACATGTTAAAAAATTTACGATTTTAGGTAGAAATTAGATATAAATATTATAATAACCTTCCATTCCAGGAAATCTTTTTGCTGAATATACAATAAATATTTCTGAAAATATTGATTTACAGTGATATACTTCACGGCTATAAAAAATATAAAGATATAAATGTTTACATCGAAATAAAATAAATATTAAATAATTAAATTAATACATACTCAATTATTTCAAAAAGACTTAGCTTTAAACGATATGTTCCTTCCATGCGTACAGATAAATCAGGAAATACGAAAAATCCGGCATCCGAGTTATCAATATCTTTAAGATGGTATAAGGAGGAAACAACGGAACCGGTCGTAGAACGAGTCTTGCCATCTCGGAGTAAATGTAATTCTTCATTTGTATCGGGAGCCATTAAAGATGCATACATGAAAAAATAAGGATTCTGAAGGAATGAACTTATGGAAAACGAACGCTAATTAGCCAATGATACACGTGACATACAACGTGATTAAGAAGATCGAAATACCTTTTTTCGGCTTGTGGCAAGGAAGGGTCATGAACTTTTAATTGGACTATTGGAGGTGGATCTATCGGACGTCTGTCAGCTAACATTAAAAAAGAAAAGACTTGAGTTCGGCGATTATTAAAATAACAAAAATAGAATAATAACAATACAATTTTTGATCATGTGCAATCATGTGATATTAAGTAGTAAATTAAATCATTGCATAAATAATAATATATGATGGTTAGAATAATTATTCGAAATATTCGGAATTATCTGCAAAATGTTAAGATCCTAGACACCATGAAGTTACTGGATTCTGCTTAAGGCAATTCATGATGTATAAGCAACTGATCATGGCTAGAAACAGAACGATATGCTATAATTTACAAATGCTTGAATTCACGCGTCTTATCCAATCGCAAACCACTGTTTAAAAAAATCCAAGTATATGATTTTCAAAGATTTTCGAATAACTCAATAATGATTACTGAAGTGAAGCACTTGATAAATGAAGATTTGTGCATCCACATAATGGTCACAGCATCGACATGATCTAGTCCAGAAAAGTGAAAGATTATGTATATTATTACCTTTTTCACCGATACCACACATCCTTGATTGCTTTGGTTGTTGACGAAGGATTAGGTCGTATTGACTGATTTATCAGAATCAGTTATTAAATAGAATCAATAGATATGAAGGAGTTATTATCTCATAACGCATATCGAGGTATCAAATATTTTGTGAAAAATTCCACTAATAAAAACAATCGGACAAAATAATATACATACATATCCTGCCTATCTTCCCTACGCTGTCGCACCGGTGCAAATTGATATGATACATTTTCATCCATTTATTCGTTATCTTTAAGTTCGTATTATTGCTATTCTACATTTATCAAGCAAAGAGAAAAATCGAAAGTAAAAAGCAAAGGTGAGAAAAAGGAGGTGTTTAAAAATAAGGCTTTTTTTTTTTTCGAGGGAACAAGAACCCGTTTATGCTTACAGGTATCTTGTATTCATATAAAAACGGCATATTGAATTAGATATTAACAGGAAAATGATGAGTTTAAGGTGAGACACGAAGAGGATAATTAGAAGTCGGTTTACAATCAATAAATATGTATGTATAAAAAAAAAATAAAAAATTAGTTTAAAATATCCGGAAAAAACAAGACGTTTTTTTTTTTTAATACAAACCCGGTAGAGTTGAAAAAAAGCCGAGAGTGTGTGCTGATGTTTTTGTTTTTTTTCTTTTTAATAGTAATCTTTCTGGAATTTTGAATAATGGGATTGGGAAGTAACATAAAATGATGCCATATATATAGAAAAAATTTCGGGTTATTATTAGAT